GAGAGGGAGAGGGAGAGGGAGAGGGAGAGAGAGAGAGAGAGGGAGAGAGGAAGGGGGAGGGAGGGAGATCTGTCTCCTTCCTTTCACAAATAGTAACTCAAAAGGTTAAAAAGGTTAAATAAATTGCACAACAGAGACCAAAAGAATTCAACGGATAAATGCCTACAAGGACGATGTTAGTGCATTAACTAGCTAGGTAGGCCAGACACCACATCAACGAACATCGGAAATAGACGTGTGTCGTACAGACTCATTTGATTACTAACCAAAACACACTAAACAGAGCTACGTTAATCACGCTTTGGAATACACTGAATGCATTAAAATCCTCAAAACAGTTTTTTTTGAGAATGCAAGCTAATACATACCTGGTTAAGCTGGAAGACAAATCACAAATGAAGTGGAACTAGAAAAGTTTAAGTCGCAAGGAACTATATCTAAGGTAACATCGGCTATAACAGGTGACACTAAGTCTGTTATGTTGGTGAAATTCGACACTAATATTATTTGAAGCAGAAGACCGCAGGAGACAATCGTTACCTGAGTGTTGAAATTGATTCTCGTCATAGCAACTTGGCCGATAAAACCTGGAAACTAATAGGACGTCATGGTACATCCCACAACAAAGATGGCGGACGAAGAGGTGGGATCAACACAATATGCAGAGGAAAGGTGGTCGTTGTTGAACTCGTTGAAATGTACAGTAGAAAATATTATTATGTCCAATTTTGGAAGTAGGCAAGTTACTACAGGTAGTTTTCCGCAAGTCAAAATTGATTTGGAACGCATATTTAAGCATGGACAACGCAGACAACAAGTGAGGATTTTTTCTTTCATTTTTGTTGTTTCCTTATACGTTTCAGACGAACATTCGTTTCAGATGTACGTCAAGTCTATATGAAAGACCATCAAAGTGCAATTCATAGTAATTTTTGTTTTTGGTAATGTCATCCTTCCTATAGCTGCCACTCATCAGAAATTTTAGATCCCCAGATTCAGACAATGATATTTTTAGTCAGAGAAGATACGTGTCTATATTCGCTTCACAAGTGAGTAAAAGAAGGAAAGAGAAACAATGAGTATGGAAGCTGAAATGAAGAGATGATGATGCATTTTTATTGTAAAAATGGGTTTGCAGTTTCATGCAGTTTGGAGAAATGAGCATTTAATTGTACCTTTCTTAAGACTACAGATAGCAGTCACCCAGTTCTATATAATCAGTGCAGCATTTTAAAAGGTTGTGCATGCCTGTCTATTCTAAATTGTACGTGACATCCATTAGTTAACTTTGTGTGTACCAATTTCCTTAAGTAACATAAGGCAGAAGATCTATTCACAATATTACACTATATGGTATTGCATGCCTATTAACTAACGCAAGGCAGAAGATCTATTCACAATATTACACTGTATGGTATTGCCTATTAAGTAACGTAAGGCAGACGATCTAGTCACAATATTACACTGTATGGTATTGCCTATTAAGTAACGTAAGGCAGAAGATCTATTCACAATATTACACTGTATGGTATTGCCTATTAAGTAACGTAAGGCAGAAGATCTA